TCCTCGTTCTTTTAGTTGCTTGTTTTAATTTGCAATTTAATTAATTTATATTATATTCAGGAGGTTTCAAATGAATGCACCCGAAGAATCGTTCACGGTGGGTGATTAATATATTTAATTTATATATTTAATAGCTAATTGTATTTCTTAAAAAGCTTCGAAAACACGCGCGTATAACACTTTCATAAACGGCTAAACGGCACAATATGATAATTGACATTTTAGATTCATGCAACTTCCTCGTATCTCACTACAATACTCAACAACGTATAGTCGTAAATTTCTATTATCGTGTAGTAAATACTACTCGACGAAAATACAATATAACACGCCTATCAAGTCTCGATTCGTTAATTCCATTGTTTGCAAACAATAAATTTTCATTCTTCGTCTGATTAAATCACTAAACGGCATGTGACGTGCAACGAACATTGCATAAATGCTTGTAAAATATCCTTTCTTATCTTGATTCGTTCAAATCGTCTCGATGAAGTATCGCTTTGTACCATGCAATTCTATTATTTTATTTCAAAATTTCATTGCTAAATTGAAAAATTTCGTTTCTAATTTAAAAAATTTCTTTGTTAATCCCTTGCCCTGCTTTTTGTGGTGAAGATTTCAAATCGAATTTAACAAACATAAATATTATTCAATTTGTTTTAATGCAAGTTACATATTAGTCCTCTGTTATCAATGATTATACCTTAGAGCACACGTTGACGTAGAATAAGACTGAAATTTTCTCTTATTTTCAATAAATTATTCATGACAAAGTAGTTAGTTTAATCAAAGCTCGGAAAGAAATCATAGAACGAAGGATTAAATTAAAAAATCTCATTGTTAAACTTAAAAATTTCATTGTTAAATTCAAAAGTTTCAAGATGTCGAGGAGAAAACTGAAGGGAGCACAACGAGAGTATTTTCTGATGGTCCACAAGTCTATTAGAAAAGTCACAAAAGTCGTGCGGAACTACATAAAATAAAGGTACTCCAGTGACCATGGCCATTCCTATAATTTTACAATGGTGTTTCAGTTTTATGATCCATCGAAAGGCAACTTCTCCACAGAATTCAAAGAGTAATTTACAACGGCTCGAAATTCGTTTTTATCCTCAGTTGCCCCTAGAAAGTAATCCGAGGGTTCAGAAAGAGGCATTATTTCTCAGTGAAACTAAACCTAATATTTACCTAAGAATTCAGGAAATTATGTTCTTGAATTGTTAGACGAATATTCCATTTCTCGAGTTTTAGGCGTTTTATGAAAGAGTTTATATTTCCGAAACTGATGTAATCTAAAAAAACAAAGCAATACTTGGTATCACCAAAATAAAGATTGGTTTAAATAAATACTGAAATGAAATTCTTGTTTATTATTTATTTTCATTGTTACATCATCTTAATGAACGTTGCTTGAATAATAATCTATTTGAATAAAATGATTTCAATATTTGCTACTTTAATAGAAATTTAGGTATTTGTTTCAATACAACGGAGAAACAAAAATACTTCTCTATGATTTACAAAATTTATATGTTAACAACTATAAATATCATCAATAATGTTTATGTTTATATTTAACAATGTAGCTATTTTTACTGGAATATGTTTAAGCAATCAAATATGACAAAATATGGAATGTTCACTATTCTCTATTTAATTATCTCATTCATGAGGAAAATATATTTTGAAGTTAAAGACAGCTACAATATAATTCATAAAATTTTACAGCCTTTGCGTACTAAGAACGAATTAAATAAAACCATTAAAATTTAGAAAAACAGTCAATACAGTCATAAATGCTTACCGTCTATATATGTAATTTACTCTTTTCCTTAACACTAAAACTACGGTACTAGTCAAAATCGTTAGTTTCCGTTTCTTTATTTCAGGATTATTGATATCTTAAAAGTATTAAATACAAGGAAATGATTGTAATAATAAATCGTTTCACTTTAATACTATAATAAATATCTAAGAAAACCAGAAAAGGCTTGACTGTTGTAATGTATATAATCAATAAATATTAACCCCTTGTCTTATAATAACCTGTTGGACTCGTCGCGAAGTTTTCAAGCAAAATTTGACCAGCATAAACATTACCAAATTCTTTTGAATTTATTCTTTTGAATATTTGAATATTATTTTATGACTTTTGAATATTATTCTTTTGTTATCAATTATTATATCGTAGAGCAAACATAAACAAAGAATATATCTAGAATTTTCTTCTTTTTCTTGAATAGATTATTGATGACGAAGTAGCCGTACCGACCATAGTTGATAAATAAATCATAGAGCAAGGGGTTAACCGTATTAGATGCTCGGTAGTGCTAGTGTTAATTCAATATTTTGAACAATGCAGTCCAGCGTTATTTTTCAAATGATATACAAAATATAAAAATCTGATTAACAACTCCTTGACCAATAGACTGGACATCCATCGTGGTGCTCATTGTCAGCGTCAAATATTCGTTCCAACAACTCAAGAATTTTTCAATTCGACCCGGCCCGTCGTAGGTGGACGCGATCATCGGAGAATGCAATCAGCGGGTAGTTACGAAGAATAATAGGAGTCATTTTTTATTCGTCAACAGTTCAGGGCGACGAAGATGAGCTGACAAAGTGAGAAATGCAACGGGTGAAGAGGTCAAACGGGCCTCTCTACCGACTACCGGACATCGATGCTGCTCGGATACGTTCGATTCGTCACTTGACTGCGCGGACGCGCGTTTAATAGCACGGTCGAATACTATTTCACATGATTTATTACCCTTAAACATTTCACCGGAAATCGTAAACATTTTTCTCGATGTTCCAACATCATTAAATCGGTCCAGGGAAATGCCAGTACAATAGAATCTCGTACAACACGATTAAAAAATTCTGTATTACAAAGATTTCACGTTTACAAATATCGCATTAATCCCTTCACCTACAATATTCTGCCAGACCCGTGACGGAAAATTTTTAACTGAATTCGACAAATTTCAGTGTTATTTATTTGTTTTAAATATGAAATAGATATTATTTTTCTATTAGCAATCGTTAAACTTTTCTAATAAATGATTAAAAGTAGGTATATATTAATAAGTAAATAGTTGTATCGATCATAGTTAAGAAATAAATCGTGGGGCAAGATGTTAACCCGCTATAGACCGAATTTTTATTTGTCACTATAGAAAACTGTATGCGATATAAAATTAACAAACATCAACCTGTAAATACAAATGACCAATGTATTCGATAGTTTTATTATTTGTATGGAAACGAACATACCTCGTAATATTAAATTACAATTATGAACTTTCATGCCTGAGCGTATACGTTTAACTTAATTAATTACTTCATCTTATTCACCACTGTTCTATGCAAAATGAAGTAAATCAACAAGATGTCAATATATTAGTATTACTTACTAGCGTAAGTAAGAAAATAACTGGCTATAAAATAAAAATATACAAGTTGGATGATATATTTTTCTTAGTGGAAACAGAAACAAAAGGAAAGACATCAATTGAAAACTGATTAATCGGAAAATATAGAAATGATATGAAGAATTAAACGAAAGTGTAGAATTTTAAATCCGGTCGTTTGATCAGTTCTCGGTATTGTTAGTGTTAAATTCACTTTTTTGGTATTGGTTCAATTTCTTTTTCTGCTTGCTTTGCTTTCTTATGAAAAATCTCACTTGCATAGTTATTTTTCAACCCCCGGAGACGCTATTTAATGAAAAAGTTATTCTTCGTTGAAATTTGATTCGAAATTCGATAAAAGATAATTTTTTATTGAAATCATTTGATCCTGTTATTGAGGGTTCTACTGTACTAATTAATTTCATAAAAATCGCGGATTAGTATTTACGTTGTATGTCGCGCGCGTTTGAAGATTAGCGGCGGCGGCGGCATAGACTTTTGCACTACCGAAGGCGACATGGAGTAAATATCAATATATTATCTTAACTTAGTTTTAACCTCTTCAGTGACGAATTCTGTTTTAGAACAAAGTTAATTTTACCTCTCAAAAAGCAATGATACCTGGTTTTTACAAGTTTCCACTAAATAAATCGAATAATAATAAACACAATTTTGATAAATTTTAGTAATATTAAGCTTAGAATAATTAGTTACTTATCATAGTTATCCACTCTAAATGTAAATAAACATTAAGTGACTTTATCAAAATATCGCACTACAATTTTCCTTCATACGGATAAAGCCAAAATGAACATAGAGCGTAAATGCTTGCTAACGGACGCAACATTCAATCTCTTTTAGTAAACTATAAATATGACAAATAATTACTTTATTGAAATTTCGGTTACTGTACGGTGGAATTTTGCATGCTTTGAAGAATTTCTTATCGAGTTTCGAGTTCTAAGGACTGTTACTAGCTTAAGTAAATCGGATAATCGAAGCTCTACTGTAATTACAATTAAAAATTCTAATGTTTAACCTCTTGCGCTGGAAAGGCGTACTATACACGTTGAGATGTTCTCTTTCAAAAATTGCCGCATTACATACACTAGATTGTTTTCAAATGTATCACTCTACACAAAGTTCTTAATAACCAAAAGTAGTGTATATATCTGCGTGAAACAGGTAAAAACAAAATTCTTTTCGCAAGACGTAAACGATCACCACGCACGAATAAATGTCCAAGGAATCACCCCTTGCTCTACAATTTCTTTCTCAACTCCGATCCATACGACTACATTGTCATTCATAATTTACTAGAAAAAAAGAAAAATTATAGACATATACCATGTCTGTATTCGCTGTTAAATATAGTAGTAGTTAATAATAATTGATTACACAAGAATAATGTTTACTTGAAATTGAAATAAATGGAGTAATATTTATGTTTATTGAATCACGTTGAAAATCGTTACCACGAGTCCGACACGTTATTATAAGGCAATAGGTTAACTCAATTATTTACACGTCTAAACATATCTACTAATTGTAATCGAATATAGACAAACTCTCTCAACATCGGCTTACCTTCATGTCGTTCATGCGTGTATTGCCCCAGTCACGATATCTCCATTCGCTGTTCCATAATTAACCAACGGAAAGTCCAACGGGGAAACACGTCCGGGAACTGATTAAAAATACTACAATTCAACAATTACAGTCACAGCACCAAGGATCCAATAAGAAATGTCTGAGAAACTTGCAAACCGCACCAAAAACACCGAAGGAATCACAGAAAAGTCTGTCGCCTCACGGATCAAAAAGGACCAGAGAGTAAAGTACCCTATCCGGATCCGTGGCCCGGGGAAGACTGGCATTCTCGATTCTGCCCCTTCCACACGTTACAATCGCGCGGACCACGCGCGAACCCAGGCCAGCTCCTTCTTTACAGGGTCGCTACGGTATATGTACACACCCAACCGACTCGTTTGTGTGTGTTGCCAACCTTTCTCTGTGTGCCTGAGACGAAGGGATGTTGGAGGGGATCTCTGTTCCGTGACTTGACTCGATTCGACCCTGCTCGTGGTATAGGGTACCAAAGAGACGACAGTTCGGGGGACGGAGAACCCTGGAACGAACGATAAGCCCCGCCCACAACCCACGCCCATACTCGCTGGAACTTGTACGACTGCACCGACGTGGGGGTAAGTCCTCCGAAGCGAATGAAACTCGAATGGAATTTCTGCACAGATCCGAGCACGATCTTCTTACGCTTGTTTTTCCTATTTCTGACTTGTTCTTCTTGTTTTTCGCCGGGTCTTGCATTCTCTTAGGCCGAAGTACCGTGATATGATATCTTTTGCTTTTTTCTTTTTGGAGAGGAACCGAGCTTTCTATTTTTTTATGGAGCTTTCTTTTATTCTATTGTAGGTACTTATGTTTTAGGAACTTTTTTTCGTAATATCTTTGAATTTTAAATTTTTTCCTATGTTAAATAGGAAGAGATAATTGAAATTGAAGGTTGTATAATATTTTGCGAAATTTGATGTTCCAAACAAATTTAATATTGGAAACTATATTTTTTATAAGTTTTAATAAGAGCTACTTTTGATTGAAATAAGAATCATATTGTAATTGTGAGAAAACGATATTTAATACTTCGACGGTTGGAGTTTCATTTGTATAACTGTATTACACAATTATTTGGAATGTAACACAGAATACTTATTAGTTTTATTACAATGGTTATTATCAATAAATATTTTTAATCGCATAATTTCCTTAACATAATTGTTTCACTTTGATATAGTTAGCCTGAGAATAGCAAAATTATGTAAATATAATATAATATGACATATTTATAATATTTAGAATATAATGTACTTATAATATTTATAATACTTATTATATTTGCATAATTATGTTCCTATAACATCAGCACCAACTAACGATGACAAAAATCACGCAAACGGGAATAATGTTTTCAATTCCGCCAAACCGGAATGCCTGTAATCATATGATCTCTCACGTAACAAAGTAATAATCGGAATATTATGTTTTCCTTCGATTCGATTTCCAATAAGAAATCGAACTATATTCACGATTGAAAGTACGCGGTAGATGTCACGTATCGATAATACACAAATCGTGGATCACGCGGCTGAAGCAAGTGAATTGTGTCAGAAGAGAACAACAATGCTCTGTTTTGCCACGAAATGGTTACATTCAATCAAGTTGCGAAATAAGCAAACAGTAATCGGTTATCGAATATCGGATAAGTATCAGTAATATGTTCTTCCTGTATGAATGCGGATGAATACCTTTAAATGCAAGTGATTTACCTTTAAACGTGGATAATAAGCTATTGCTCCAAAAAGTTTATAAGTTTCATTTGATAGGGTTAAATTTATATTTATAGATCGCTAATTCGTAAACATACACTTTGTGTAAAATAATATTAATAATACGATATTTTTGTCATATTTTTAATAATTTTTGTATGGCAATACTGTACACAAAGTTAACTTTCAATAAATATTTTACATTTAACAAACGTAAGAGACGATCATATTTCGAAAAAATATAATACCATGAAGACGTCAGTCGCAATTTATGCACTACTTAATTAATTTTCTATTATTAATCTCATCAATTATGTTCTAAACTAAAAGTGTCTACGGATGAATTATAAATTTTCCTTTTCTTTGGTAAATTATCAATGATAAAGTTATATTATCAAATGCAGTTATCAAATAAATCATAGCACAAAGTGTTAAAGCGTTCAACAAGTTGCCAAATTTTGCTTCATTCTTGAATAACTCACACCCAAAAGACTATCCTTGAATTGGCTCTTTTCTCAGTTCGATCCCTTTCCCCCTATGGCAGCATAATTCAAGAAACACTGGATTTCACGGATGCGTGCACATGCGCGGAGTATTCCGGTAAGGGTGGCAATGAAAGGACTCGAGTGGCTAGGAAGGCCGAAAACCCGTTTGACAGTTTCCCTGGGCTTCGAAACGAAAAATTCATATTCATTCTGGGCGTGGGCGTATGCGGGTCTTTCTGACCCTGCGTGAATGTATAGATAGGGCCTGGCAATATATACGCGTACACACGCACAACACCGCTTTGATAGACAGAAAGAGAAAGAGAGAAAGAGAGAAAGAAAGATACGACCGAAAGAGGGATAGCAGTGATAAAAGGCGTTAGTCCATTCCGGAATGATTTATGTGTCGGCGGAGCAGAAATACAAACAGGTGCTCGAATCCCCTTGAGAACCCAAACTCATCGAAAATAAAAAGGAAGCGATGGAATATAAAATATATGTCCATGCGTAAATACGATGGAAAAGGGATAGTCACTGTCTAAGGATAACCCGTAACTAAACGGTCAACCGAGCACCACTTTTTGACCTTGCATAGTGAACCTGAAACGGATTGATCACCCTTGGATCGAAACGATCAACTAAAAATTTGTATGAATGTAGATGTAAGTGTGCAGGATGAACACTATTGGATTGATGCAAACGTTTTGCCGTTTTTAGTTTTTAGATTTAGTTCAGTGACTCAACTGTTCGTTGGCTGAACCAGAACTAATTAAGTAGAAACGAAGAAAGAAGTGTATATACACGTTATAATAAATTAAAAACAGGTATTATTTGTTTCGAGGAAAATAATGTTTTTGTTAACTGTGTACGAAAAACGTCGAAATTTTTGCATCGACTCAATATATCTGGGGAGAGAAATACTATGTGGATTGCTGTAAAAGTTTCGTGATAACACTCATGAGAAAAGTCAAATGAGTTTGAACTAATGGTTTTATTCTTTTTCGAAATATTCTTCTTTGACATTGATATATTTTTCATTGTATTGTGTTAACAGTTTCTAAGCTTAAACATGTGAAGCTTTACCAAAATAACAAACAACCAAGTAGCAAGAAATATTATGGCGACCTGTAATATTCAAAGAACTGCTTTAGTGATATTCTGTAGTTCACTTTTAAAAAGAAATTAAAATATAATTAATTATATAATTAAATATAACTACGTGGATTTCTTTATATTTATTCACAAATCTCCGTAATGTCAAAGTATAATTCTGATTTACGTAAAATGATCCTTAACAGCGACTCGAAGTTTGAATATGACATAACTGTTCGATACAAAGAAATGTCTACATCTTTATATATTTAATACAATTTTGTTAGAAAAAGAATAAGATTTCCAAAATGTTAGAATATTGCTGTTTGGTACTGTCATGAATTTTTAAATAGCAAATAGAACACAACAGGAAGCTCTAAAATGATTGAACTGATAAGGAACGAAAGCGTTTTCCCCGTTTCTTTAAATCTATTTTGAAATATGTAATACATCTTCCCTTTTGAATTAGTTTCCATTCTATTGAAATTTCCCTTCTATCCCAAAGGAACCAAAATTGTTTACTATTTCACGTTGAACGACGCCGTCGAGCCTGCTGATTCTCGTTTGAATATGAAATACATCTGCATACAGTTTCACCGCAGGTGCTCCAGCTTTCCTTTTGCCTTCTGAATCGCACTTCATACTAGAGGAAACTTCTATCAACCCTGTATATAAGGGTTTCGTCGACATTGTGTTACCGCATGATTTCTTCGAATAAGAAACAAACTTCCTCTTCGCTGCAAGATACATATAAGATTCGCATAAATAAGCTGCAATACAATAGAAATCCTGGAAAGATTGCATACGTTAAAATAAACGAAACAGGCGATAGATACAATCGTAACAACATTCGAAATTATGCAGTTAATTTATGAAATAATAACACTGTAGTAAAGTCACTTATTCATCTATAAGACTAACATTACTTCTTCAACAACATAATATTATACAGCTGATAGTCATCGTTTTTGCATTCCTCAATTTTTCGCTAAAATAAATGTTTATTTTAAACAATGTACGAATGCTTAATCATCGAAGTAATCTTAATACCATTCTTATTTCTACTGTAAAAGCATAATAGTAATCAAACTTTTAATTAAAAAATATCTCGTAGACATAATTAATTACATTAAATCTAAAATGGACCATTTTCACTTTTCTAATAGTTTAAGGGTAAATAAATAAATTAATAAGTAATTTCGATAATTCTTAATAATTAATACGTTGAACGAATAATTATGTAATCGATGTAAAGTGTTACGAGTCAATTTGATTTATTATATGTTTTGTTATTCTGTTCCGCAAATTCGATCTGTATGTTTACATTATTCTTTTTTATCCTGCTAACTGTGGAATTTTATTTCAGAAATCTCTGATAATGCTCTCAATGAAATCAAACAATGAACTGTATACTCATCTAACGCAGGCCAATATATTCTAACGAAAAGCTAAAGCGAAACGAAGAAGAATTACATGTTTATCTAAAAAAATAAATAATGTATCTTTGAAAAAATGAGTACCATTTTAATTTTAAGATGACGTGATACTCGTCGAATGTAATTAACTGTTTAAATAATTCCTAATATTATAACCCGGCCTAATTCTATCACAATAAATCGTTAGTTTTCCACATAACACGGTTATCCAAGAAAACCGATTTAATAGCGACCCAATAAATTTACAATTGAATTTGCTAAGGATCGTTCGAACAACAGAAGGTATCGATACACGCGCACCTCAAGAGAAAAGGGCATCAATCGCGAACGGGATTCTTGATGGTATCGATTATTGCCTTTCCAAGGCAACGTACAAGGCGATACGGCTGTCTCTTTCGGTGGGATCGACACCGGGGAACCCCATGGTTTCTTTTTCGAGGATCCTCCGCGATCCTCGTGAGCCAGGACCTTTGTCCACCGTCGGTCCCACCAGCGGAA